TTGAAATGTGCATTGCTAACAGCGGAGCTATCTCAGCCGACTGGCTGCTTGTTGAATGTTCGAATGTAGGATGTTTTCAACCCGCTATTCATAATAAATAGATGGGGTATGACAGATCTCAAACCAACAAGTAGTGTTCACAAAAATGTGACCAGCAATGTGTTCCATGCTCTTTTTCGCATTATAGTGTACTTTGCCTTTTATAGAACACAGTACAAATCATCTTACACTATTTTAAAAATACAATTCTAATCTAGACTCAATATCGAGTGTTTGCTGTAGAAACCCAGCAACTTCAATAATCGTTGCTGTGCGGTCACTCTTTATGATGCATCGTTGTCACTAGATGCGTAGCTGTCGTTCTTTACATATTTAAACTTAGTTTGATGACGGAGGAAATAATATTACCGGCGATAAAAAAACATTATACCATTGGAGTACTGCAGCCAATAATTGCTAATAACCAAGCAACTCCTCGGGTGACTCTGATTTCGAACAATATTTTTACCCCGACGTCAGAGTGTGATAGGCATGATCAAAGTTTTCAGTATGTACATGAACAATTACACGGTGTGTAAAAAAATGGAATGCGCTGTGTCATACCCTGTCTATTTTATACTACGTACTTTAGTGGAATTCCTCTTTTTTTTTATAGCGGAACAAAAATGTGGAAGCGCATGTAATAGTTCTTTGTTGACGATCTAACCTGTCTAAACTGACTGACTATGGAACAGATAACAATACTGTTATGTCGTGCATATGATTAAGTTTCATATACTTTATTAAATCACTCTCAGAAATAATGTTATTATTCTTCTCTTTATCTGATGTTAATTTGCCTATTTTGAAATGTTTAAGCACCGTCTTGACCAACACTATTATGTTTACTTTAACAGTTTCTTTTTCTCATTTTCTCATATACTCATCTAAAGAAAACTAAGAACATAATTAAACAAAGCATATAACTTACTGGAGAGAAAATATGACAAATGAGAAAACAAAACTTACATTAAATTTAAAATAAATTACAATTTTGAAGGTTAGTTGAATGTGTTAAATATAAAACAAAAAATGTTTGTACCTAGATTCAGAACAAGTAATCATAGTTTAGTCATGGAGAAAGGAAGATACAATCAACAAAAAACACCATTAAAAATAGGATTTGTAGACATTGTTTATTGCATGACATAGAAGATGAAATTCACTTTCTTTTGAAATGTCTACCTCTATCCAATTTATATTCCAAGAAACGCAAAGCTATAATCATAAATTCATTTATTTTATGGAAAGTATATAATGACAAAATTACAATTGATATATTGAGTGATTTGGATTAATTCCCAATTCTTTGATAAATGAATTTTCTCTTGATTTGTAATATTGACAATCTGTTTTTTTTACTAATTACCCCAGACCATCCAAGCATCTCAGTGTTATTACTATTACCCATAAAACATTGAGTACATGTTAACAATAACACCAAGATGAATGGTTTGGGATATTTTGTAATCTATTCATTTATATTCATATTGCTATTAACTTATAGAAAAATTGTATTTCTAATGATGCAATAAAGATATTATTAGTATACTTTGACTTTGTTGGTTAAAACAAACAACACCTCCCCCCAATAACTATACGATTGATTGTGTGCGTATGTATGTATGTATGTATGGAGGTGTGTTGGGGGGGGGGGGTCTATATATGTGATACAAAATCTTATTACCTTTATTTGCTACATTTGTCTTTACAGAAAGCCAGATAGGATTTCATTTGCATATTACCATGACAACCAGTCAAGTGAGCCAATCAACAAGCAGCAACAGAAGAAGGGGATGTGGAACACTGAGAGTAATCACAAGAAATTGCATATAGATACAAAAGATATGGATTCATGTTCCGTGTATGATATACTATGTGCTAGTATTGTTCCCAGACCTATTGCGTTTGTCAGTACATGCTCACTAAAAGATAAAGTGAACAATTTGGCTGCATTTAGTTTCTTTATGCCTGTTACAAGTGTTCCTCCAACTCTGGCATTTTCAATCACACGGTAAGAATATTATACATGTATATACGTGTTGATGACGGTGATTGTGGAATGGGAATGCAGTTGTATGGGTGTATGATTAGACTGGCATTGAATGTGGTGGAACGGAAGAATAATTTGGTTGTTGGTAAATTGGCATGTCATATGGGTATGGGTGGATTGGTAAGACCTTTTGGTGTATTGGCAGGTCAAGGGGGCATGGGTGAGTTGACAGGCCAAGGGGGCATGGATGAGTTGACAGGCCAAGGGGGCATGGATGAGTTGACAGGCCAAGGGGGCATGGGTGAGTTGACAGGCCAAGGGGGCATGGATGAGTTGACAGGCCAAGGGGGCATGGGTGAGTTGACAGGCCAAGGGGGCATGGGTGAGTTGACAGGCCAAGGGGGCATGGGTGAGTTGACAGGCCAAGGGGGCATGGGTGAGTTGACAGGCCAAGGGGACATGGGTGAGTTGACAGGCCAAGGGGGCATGGGTGAGTTGACAGGCCAAGGGGGCATGGGTGAGTTGACAAGCCAAGGGGGCATGAGTGAGTTGACAGGCCAAGGGGGCATGGGTGAGTGACAGGCCAA